AAGTGAAGGAATTGTTGTCCATTAGATTGGCAAAGAGATACGATGCTGCCAAGATGTGTTTCTGAATCTTGCATCAATAGCCAGTGCATATTGGACCCAGCGTGATTACCTCGACTGCACAGAGACTCCTCACACTTGCGCCATGTGGGAAGCCCCGTCCATTTCTGGGTCATCAGCATTTGCGTAGACGAAAGATCACAAAGAAATGGATTTGCCCCGTAGGTCAGACGTCCCTTCTTCACTGTCGTCCACGCTCATTCCCATAGCAAAATCAGCAGTAAAGCAACATACTTTTCATTCTGCACTGAATCTACATTCTGTTGTTCAAGACACAGGTATTGAATGATCCGCCTTACGACGATGTCAGGTGCTTTCAATCTTCGCATGCAACACCGGCATGTCGGTAGTTGTGCTGCTCTCTTGCTTTGAACCCACTCTGTCATCAACATGTGCACGCACCACACTGAGCATAACAACGGACAATACTCTTACTACACAGCATACTGGAATACAGAAGATGCAGAGAATAACTGTTGTTAGTGATACACTTGTAAAATTGGGATTCTGACAAAAATGCGACAAAAGATTTGGGTCAAGATACACTCTGCTCTAAAGAATTGCATCACGCAGACAAGTGACTTAGTCTGAGATGAGCATGAAAGTGAACCTCCTTGATGTAGCTGATGTTCTCACATAATGCACCGATTACTTTGTTAAAGAGGAAGTTCAAGTGTCCCTTTCTTTTGTGTAACCCTGAAGCTGTCCTCCCAAGTGGAAATATAGACAGGCTTAGTATACTGGTAACGCAACCTTCTCAAATGCAAATTTTGACAGATTCTTGACGTATGTTACTACAACAATGTAAAGATTCATTCTTCCGCAGTGAGGTACTGTATGACTCCAGGCTACAAGCCAACATCATCCCAGGCCACTTAGTTACACATCACTCCTGCAGCCACAATTCACTCTAAGGTTCTGAGCCACAACATCACTCCAGGCTACTAGCATCACTCCGGGTCTCTGAGCTACATCACTCCGGCTCTCTCTGAGCTACAACACCTCCAGGCTACATCACCTGGGGTCTCTGAGCTACACATCACTCCAGGCTACTACCATCACTCCTGGTCTCTGACTCTACATCACTCCAGGCTACTACATCACCCTGGTCTCTGAGCTACATCACTCCAGGCTACTACATCACCCTGATACTACATCACCTGGTCCTGAGCTACCCCACCCAGGCTACTACATCACCTGTGTCTCCTGATTACATTCACACTCCAGGCCACTATCACCTCGGCCCTGAGCTACATCACTCCAGGCTACCACGTCACCCTGGGTTCTCTGAGCTACATCACCCAGGCTACTACATCACCTCCAGGCTGGCTACATCATCACTGGGCCTCTGAGCTACATCACCCAGGCTACTACATCACTCCTGGGTCTCTGAGCTACATCACTCCAGGCTACCAAGTCACTCCCAGGCTACTACATCACTCAGGGCCTCTGAGCTACATCACTCCAGGGCTTACATCATCTCGGTCTCTGAGCTACATCTCACCTGTGCTACCATGGATCACTCCTAGGCTACTACATCACTCCAGGCTGGCTATCACTGGGCTGGGTCTCTGAGCTAGCATCACCCAGGCTACTTACATCACCTCGGGGCCTCTGAGCTATCATCACTCCAGGCCATAGCTAGTTACTACACGCCTCAGGCTACTACATCACCTGGGTCTCTGAGCTACATCACCAGGTGGCCACTGAGCTCTGGAGTTACATGGACACCCAGGCCACATGGCATCACTCCGGGTTCCTGAGCTATCACTCCGGCTAGAAGCTACTATATCATCCCAGGCTACACATCAACTCAGGGCCCTGAGCTACATCAATTACCAGGTTACCACACATCACTCCAGGCTACTACATCACTCCTATGCCCTGAGCTAAGCATCACCCAGGCTACTACATCACTCCCAGGTTACTACATCAGAGCTAGCATCATCACCAGGCTGCTACATCACTCTGGCCCTCTTGAGCCACACTACCCCTAGGCCACATCACCAGGCCACAAGCATCACTCCAGGGTCTCTGAGCTACATCACCCCAGAGCTACTACATCACCTCCAAGCTCCTAGAGTGTATGACTACTCCTAGGCTATATCACCTGCAGTTGACAGCTACCTAGATCACTCCTTCCAGCCTCTGGAGCTAAGTTATCACCTCCAGGCTACATGGTATTATTCCAGGCCTCTGAGCCACATCACTCCAGGCATCACCCAGGCTACTACATCACTTCCCAGGTCTCTTGAGCTACATCACACCAGGCTGCTACATCACTCTTGGGCTTCTGAGCTACATCACTCCAGCTACACCATGCCATGTGGCTACTACATCACTCCAGGCTAGCTACATCACCCAGGCCACTCTAGATGCACCCAGGGTACTACATCACCCTGGTCTCTCTGAGCTGCTACATCACTCCAGGCTACTATTTCACCAGGCTACTACATCATCAACTGAGGTCCTGAGCTACATCACACCAGGCTGCTACATCACTCCTCAGGGCCTCTGAGCTACACATCACCCCAGGCTACTACATCACTCCAGGCTACTACATCACTCCAGGCCTCTGAGCTACACCACCTTGGGCTACTACATCACTCCAGGCTACTAAGAGCATCACTCCTCGGCCTCTGAGCTACATCACTCCAGGCTACTACATCACTCCGGCCTCTGAGCTACATCACCCAGGCCACATCACTCCAGCAGCACTCATTCCAGGCCTCCTGAGGCCATGATCACTCCCAGGCTACATCACTCCAGGCTACTACATCACTCCGGGCCTCTGAGCTACATCACTCCAGGCTACTACATCACTCCAGGCTACTACATCACCCTGGGCCTCTGAGCTACATCACTCCAAGCCACTGAGCTCACTCACTCCCAGGCCACTGAGCTACACATCACCCAGGCTACATCACTCAAGGCCACTTTGAGCTACATCACCTAAGGCCACTGAGCTACATCAATCCAGGCCACTGAGATACATAAAATTCAAAACCCACTGAATTGAGATATTGAGCTACAAAATTACCTTCCAGGCTGCTGAAGCACACCATTCCATGCCTTCTGAGCTACTACATCCATCCAGGCTACTATATCACTTATGGCTGTATGGCTACATCATCCTTTCTGATTACTACACAGCTACACCTTTGCTGGACACACACAGGCTATTTCCCTTGCTTGAGCTGATGTCTAAATGTCTAACAGATGTCCAATGAGTCAACATATTCAAAGATACATAAATAATTTATTCAACTTGAAATACAGTTGTATGTTTATCTTGTGCAAATTAAACTAATATACTTGGGCCTCCTTCACAAAGCCCTAAGTGATTGTAAGTCACTAAGGTAACCTTTAGTGCAATGTTAAAGAATGGAGTTAAGGTTAACCTTAGTAAAGGTTGCTTTGTGGAAGGGAGCCCATGGACCACTGTAAACCTGTTTAGACAAATTAACGCTTAAAAATGAATATATACTGACACATTATAAAAATGCATAGTGAAACTTGGGAAAATATTTTTCAGAGAACTGGCAGAAAAAGGAGCAACAGATGTGTTACAATGGGGCCCTGAAAGCATGATCAAATATCCACTTTTGTTTTCAAAGTGTTTCAGTATATATAGACTTGCAATGTAAAATCATTTTCCAATACTTTCCCTCAACATCACTTTAGCTTGTACAAAAACACAGCTTGAAAGTGTTTTTTGCTAAACCAAAACCAGTATATTCATAGCGACGCATTTACAAAATATTGATTTGAGTTCCGGAAAGGTACTCTTTGAAACAACAACTTCAATTCACTATGCACAGTTAAACCTCGCTAACCTGATTTCACAGTCCCCAAACAACTCCCTGCTTCTAGTTATTCAACATGTTTCTCCATATTCTAGGCCAAACTTATTGATTCAGAAGGTCCAGTATGTATTGATAACATTATGCCATATATTGTATATTTGTTTACATTGTAAATGTCACACTTCTTTGTAATATATCCAGGTGTGGGAAGGCCGTGTGTATATCATGGAATTTAGACTAGACAATCCAGTGACTGACATGATATATGACAACAACTAAGTCCGCAAGCCAGACTGTGACTACCTGTTTGTTACCTTTACTATAACCAGGTATGCTGAAGACTATTTCTAGTAATCCATATCAACATGGTGTGACTGTGCCAATGGTAATTATAATTGAGTTGGGTAAGTTCAGACATAGTCCAGGTTACAGTGGTTTTGTAGCCCTATGAGCACCCACTGAGTGGTTGGATTTGGTGCTACATAAATTTTCGGTATCATTATTATCATTATTATTATTTTTAAATCAAATAAAAAAGTACAATTAAAAAAATTAAATTTGGTCACTGTTACAATATTTTTCACGCCATATTATGACGCTGTTCTGAAGATGAACCAATTGTAACGGATCTTTCCGCACTGCATCATTATCCACCCGATGCCAGTAGTACACAACATCGCTGGCAACTGGAAATAGGTTCTCAAAACTCTGAACACAGTATTTATACATACATTTTCGGTACGTGATGCCAGCTTCACCTCCACATAATAGCTGACAAACCATCAAGGTCAAAACCTGCTTTAGTTAACCCTGTGTGTGTTTTAATGGTTAGTTAAACAGCATCATCATGCTAAGTTATTGTGAGAGACAAGCCCAAAGCAGTGCCAGTCCAAGACAGTTACCCTTTGGTGGAACCAGCAGGCTCTCAGACACTGAGATTCAAACCCACAACTACTACTTCTGGTACTTAGGGAAGGAAACAACTCCGCAAAACAAGAAGGCACGCCAGAGAGCTGCTTCTGTTTGTAAATTCCTTCTTAATTTATTGAACTAATTTAAATCCTGGTTAGTCTTGTCAGCGCATAATGGTCACCCAGGCCCCTCGGCCATCCTGATGACCAGTGGATGTCCGCGATCTCAGTGCCTCCAACCCACATCATGTCCGGCTCCACCATCTGGCGGCTCCAGGAAGCCACGGAACATGGAGCCATCAGCCAGCCATCTGGCTCCATAGCCTGAAACATCACACAACACTCTCATAAGCCAATACACCCTCTTACTGCTTTTGTCATTTAGGTTGATGAAGACAAAACCCTGGTGATTAGGTGCCTGACTCTGAGCCGGGTTTGAATGCAGGATGGAACTCAACCTAACAGAGTACAAGAATCTGTATTTTACTGAGAAAGCGTATACCCAAAAATAACATGTGTTACCTTTGACCACTTTCAAAATTTCATTTTGTGTCATAAAAATTCATTGTAGTGGTAAACTTAATATTATGCTTGATGTGACAACTTACCTTCCTCTTGTCTCATTTCCACTATAATGACATCATGCTGAAAAAAAGAAGGATAGTGAGTGAGTCAACAATAACACATAAAGCTGTTGCTATGACAGTCGTCGCTACACTTCATCATGTAGGTGAAGTACTAGTAACATAAGCAACATCCTCTGATTCGTTATGATGACACGTCGGTCATCCAGAGTGTCACCACTGAAATTGCTGGGGGACACATGCCAACACAATTCCCCATGTTGGTGAGGGCATTGGTGCAGCTGGTCAGGGCGAGGTCAGAGGGTGAAGTCTTATGTCTCTGGCCAATATTCCAGGAATTATACGGTGGGGCAGACCAAATATGGTACATTATTATGTTAGCATATTTTTTCGGCTACCTGATTGGTCTAGAGGCGGTCATGTGACCGGCGACAGAGTGGCATATTGACTCTAACCCAGGTCCGACCAAAAGTCATATTGACTTGAGTTACTAAAAATAGATTTTGACGCCAAGCTATGACATCATCCTGTTGTTTACATGTCACAGTATTGTTAACATAACATTATTGGTTTGTAGCTTAAAATAAAATTACTTTTCTTGACTAAATGGACATGTTTTTTAGAAGCTATTTTTTGGTCATTACATAATAAAACAATTATGGACTGGTGAATTTGGTCAATACCTGTTTTTATAGACCCGCCGAAAAAGCAATATTATTGACTGAAGGATTGTGTTATAGACCCGCCAGCAGCAATATTGCTTTTCGCAGGATCCATAAAAACAGGTATTGACCTCATCACCAGTCTATGATTGTATCCTGTACCCTTGTGACAAATGCAAACTGTTCCTCAAAATATTTACATTCAAACTACACACACCTCTTTTCAAAAAGGCTGTGTCCTCACTTACATTATGAATAACAGAGCCCTGACAAAACAAACCAGTGACTGATATCATGAGCAGCAATTCATTAGACAAATGACACATTACAACCAACCAGTGCTCGGTGCCCACTGAACCATATGATTTCATTGTGGACCTATGAAGACTTGTCCACAGTTAAACAACCATACTACAAGTTGCCGGGGACTCACCGGCAGCCAGTGGATGTTGATCCAGGTAGCATTGTCCATGATCTTGTTCAGCGTCTTCAGGGCATGCTCGTTCTTGTCCATCTCAGCTGAAATACAAACCAGGTCGAACGTTAGGAAAGTATGACTCATGGAATAGAGTAAAGGAAAAGGATGACTGTAGGAGTCAGATGAAATCTGCATGACTTATCAGCTATTGAAATCTATACTTCTGCAAGCTACTGATGTGTGTCAACCATATACGTCTGCAATCTACTGATGTGTGTCAACCATATACATCTGCAAGCTACTGATGTCCATCAACCATATACGTCTGCAGGCTACTGTTGTCTGTCAACCATATACATCTGCAAGCTACTGTTGTCTGTCAACCATATACGTCTGCAAGCTACTGTTGTCTGTCAACCATATACATCTGCAAGCTACTGATGTGTGTCAACCATATACGTCTGCAAGCTACTGATGTCTGTCAACCATATACCTCTGCAAGCTACTGATGTCTGGCAACCATATACGTCTGCAAGCTACTGATGTCTGGCAACCATATACGTCTGCAAGCTACTGTTGTCTGTCAACCATATACATCTGCAAGCTACTGATGTGTGTCAACCATATACGTCTGCAAGCTACTGATGTCTGTCAACCATATACCTCTGCAAGCTACTGATGTCTGGCAACCATATATGTCTGCAAGCTACTGATGTCTGGCAACCATATACGTCTGCAAGCTACTGTTGTCTGGCAACCATATACGTCTGCAAGCTACTGATGTCTGGCAACCATATACGTCTGCAAGCTACTGATGTCTGGCAACCATATACGTCTGCTAGCTACTGATGTCTGGCAACCATATACGTCTGCAAGCTACTGTTGTCTGGCAACCATATATGTCTGCAAGCTACTGATGTCTGTCAACCATATACGTCTGCAAGCTACTGTTGTCTGTCAACCATATACGTCTGTAAGCTACTGATGTCTGTCAACCATATACGTCTGTAAGCTACTGTTGTCTGTCAACCATATACGCCTGCGTTACTGTTGTCTGTCAACCATATACGTCTGCAAGCTACTGTTGTCTGTCAACCATATACGTCTGTAAGCTACTGTTGTCTGTCAACCATATACGTCTGCAAGCTACTGATGTCTGTCAACCATATACGTCTGCAAGCTACTGTTGTCTGTCAACCATATACCTCTGCAAGCTACTGATGTCTGGCAACCATATACATCTGCAAGCTACTGATGTCTGGCAATCATATACGTCTGCAAGCTACTGTTGTCTGTCAACCATATACCTCTGCAAGCTACTGTTGTCTGTCAGTTGTATACATCTGTCGGTCTACGACCTTGTCTGTAGGGTATACTCACTCCCAGTGCTGGTGCCCCGCCAGGAGTTGCTGTTGTCTGTCAACCATATACGTCTGCAAGCTACTGTTGTCTGGCAACCATATACGTCTGCAAGCTACTGTTGTCTGTCAACCATACACCTCTGCAAGCTACTGTTGTCTGTCAGTTGTATACATCTGTCTGTCTACGACCTTGTCTGCAGGGTATACTCACTCCCAGTGCTGGTGCCCCACCAGGAGTTGCTGTTGTCTCGGTGGAAGTGCTTGGCCAGTGCTCTCGCTCCCACCCACAGCTCCGAGTTAGGCCTGACAAATAGAAACAGTATCCTAATTCGCTCTTTATATCAACATGTGCATACAGATACCAAACTGACACCTCAGGGGCAGATGTCTGGTGACAATGTGCAGCCATCGTATTTAGAGAAACTTGCTCTTATAAAATTTTCTGAGAAAACAGACAGGTTTTGTCTGTTTCTCCTTAGTTTGAATGGCCAAATACTATCATGCTTTGAATTCTCTGTTGAAACAATTAACTCTGAGTTGTTCCAGTTCATTGTGTCTTGGTTGTACTATTAGACCTAAGAGCAGATTGTAAATATTCATCTCTGGAGAAGACAAACATGTGATGTATACTGAGCCAGGAGTTGTAGCAACAGGGCATATTGACATTCAACCATATCATTGAGCTCTACCTACATATACCATGCAGTTAACTATCGTGATTACACAGGTAGCGCAAATCAGCTTACGAGTGTTTCTCCTTGAAGGATTTGATTAACTTCTCTTTGGATACCGGCCATATTTCCTTAGTTCCAACCGTCTTCCTGATTCCAAACAGGTCCAAAATGCCACGCTTTCCCAACAACTGAAGCAAAGATGACACCATCAGGCGCTGACAGTACTTTATTTGGCGATAAAGTTCACCTTTTTGCATTACATCACACTGAAAAGACGTCGCTACACCAAACTCCTCTGCCCCCTTGTAATCAAACGTATCCTTGGTAACCAATGTCATGATGCATGTCAGGTGTCATCGTCTCGTAGAGCCTCCTACAGTAAACTACTGTGTAGCACCCTGTTTCCTGCCTTGCAGATGCTTCACTTGGCTAACATCAAAGGTGGAAACATTACGTTTAACTTTTTTCAACGGATAAATGTCTCAGCTTGAATCACAATTAACCAGTGACACGGCAATGTTCGCTGACTGAGCCTATGTCCACAGTCCCACAGTGCATCTGTGGAATGTCGAGTGACTTTATCTGGATTTACTGTTCAAACCTTACGTTGGTAGTAGAAGTGCGACGTTCACAATTCCCAATGTGGCTTACGATAATCACAGCAGTAACTAAAATAATATACTGTCCGTTTGAGTCAGAAACGGACCGATGAATTGCAAATTTGATCATTGTAACCGAAAGGGTTAATTTGTGTGATTTTGACACGACCCCTACCTGCTTCGCATCACCCTCACAATGTTTGTGTTCCAAAACATTTGTCAGTACCCTTGCTGATACTCCTAAAGCTTTTGCTGCCTGCTTACGGAATTTATTAATGGCATAAAATGGTTTGCCCCTTTCGGCTTCAGCACGGAAAAAATTGTACACTTTAATCATCAACTGTGTCACGTCAGCTTTCAACTTCATTTTTCATCAGGCATGTGTATCCTGTGCACGACGCGATAGTGGCTGTTCCGTTTATGCGGTTTCACCCCGACGCGACAGATAACAACTTTTGCGTTTTCAATGATGATAGTTTCTTAAACAACTTTTTTGGTGGAGTCCGGAAAATTTTCAAATATAAGAAAGCTGTTGGGTATTAGTAAATGATAAACATGTGTACTATTTATATTTATGTGGCAATTTTGTACAATGATCAAATTTGTATTCATTGGTCCGCTTCTCTTCGACTCAAACGACTGTAGAGAAGACGCTTTAATCCGGAACGTAAGCCGCCTTCAAACTGTTTATCATTTGTTTTTTATGGCCACGTGTGTCTTAACGTAGGGGCAGACATGTCACTGGAAGAGCCCGCAAGTTAGCCCTGATTGAGGATTGTTAATTTAGGTCCCCCACACCATTGCTTTTACTGTTTGTTTTCTGCCTAGATTAATCTGTGTGTATTAAATTTGGCATCTAAGAAAGAATAGTTCCTCTACTTCATCATTTATAGTGTAATAGTAGAAGCGGTTCCTGAACCATTATAACGTAGGGCAGCACCTCGGACGCAAGCCGCCCTCGTAGTTTAACTATAATAGTTCAGGCTTAAAGTGTACTTTTATTACACTATACATGGGGGTAGAGCCAACTGTATTACTTAGATACTGGTGACCAGTACCGACTCATTACTGACCAGGAGGACCTCTCGGATCCTGTACTTGATCTCCTCCCCGCCCCCACATAGTCCACAGTGTCTTCAGGCCCTCCAGCAGGGGAGATGGGTATGGAGGCGACCACGGCGCTCCTGAAACATATATCCTTGTGTCATTCCTCGCTGTGTCAGGAATGGAATAGGTTCAGTGTGACAGGAAGGAGCAGTGCTTACTGTTCTGACAGGTACCACTTTCAAGTACCCAGCTACTTAAATAACACTTATCAGAGGGGTACACAAAGTCCGCAGTCTAGACTACCAGTTGTCTGACTTCCATTTTTGTGGAAGCCGCCGGTGGCTGAGCTGTCTTGGCGCCTGACTTTGTGAGCTGGCTGGCATTAGGTGCCTGACTCTGAGGGTGTGGGTTCGAATCCCGGATGGGACTCAACCCAATAAAAGTACTAGAATCTGTACTTTACAAAGAAAGTGTAATCCCAGATATAACATGTGTTACGGGTACCCAGCTGCTTTAATCTTTCGTATCTTTGCATCACCGCTGAAAATATGTGCCAGTCTAAATGTCCAAGACACCTCTATTTATCTGGTACAGTTAACATTATTACCAAAGGTATTACTGGTGTTGTTTATTGGTATGTTGATTTCTTGATGAAATATAGTACTTGATTATACAGTGAGTGGGATTGTGATTGTGATCGGATATTAATATATCCCAGAAAACTTGCAACAGTTACTCCACACATAGTTTAACTGTACACTTCATCCACCAGCTAAACTTACTCTCTCATGTGGGTTTAGTTCCACAAAGTGTTAAGTGATTGTATCTCCCATACTTCAACATGTCACAGCCATTGTTGTATTACTGTAGTTTGTGGATCAGGGCTAGTGAAGTTCTTTACTGTTCCGTCAATCATAAAATGAAAACATGACTGACAACTTTAATAGGATTCTGCCAGTCCAGTTGTCCCACTGAATTTATCAGAATCTTAAACACTGCTGGTATGCATAGTACATGCGATAATGTGCTAGGCACCATTATTAGACTTAATGTTGTTCCTGGTTTCCAGTTTGGTCTACTGATAATGTGACCAGGGCCTTTATTCTAAACGCTCAGAGTCTCTAATAATTCTTAACTTTGATTGTAGCCAAAGTGTTAAGAATGGGCTTAAGAGGTTTGTAGGGCTACGAATGTTTCGAGAATAGCTAGCCAGGGCTACAAGAATTTGTACATCTGTTAGAACAGCATGTGGTGTTAAAAGGTCCCCACCCCCCAACATGACCAAAACAGCGAAATGTGTTCCTAAAAAGCTACTCTGGTTTCTGTAAGCAATAGCTCATAGATATATGTCATGTGAATGTTTAAACATGTGTAAAATGATATTCTGTGAATTTACTCATTTCATGTTGTTACACACATACCTTGACTCTGCATAGGTTTTCTCATCCAGCAAGTCATACTTGGGCAGATTCAGGGCAGGGCAATATCTGTAAAATACATTTTTTTAATACAAGTGCTGTGTTAACTTATCCATACAGTCTAAGGGACAAAAAGACAAATTGAAACTGAAATTACAGAATATGTTTTTGAACTTATAACAACACTTATTTTGGCCAGCTCTCTTTTACAATTAGGTGAAGTGAAGTATTACCCCTATTCATATAATATGGAAAATAATATCATGTATTATGTTGATATTGGCAATTGGTTATCTGGAAATTTTTGGCAATTTTACTTCCATTATGGTCTGATCTACACTACCAGCTTGCCTTTGGTAGTAGTACTGATCTGGAAATGCAATTAAGTATATTTATATTAGACCAAACATTTTGTGGTTATAGCCCGGGAAAGCCACATTTAAGAAAGAGTTTAAAATGGTGTGGCTCAACTGGCAATGGGCATGGTTGAGTGATCGTGTAAATGTTGGCTCTCCCGGCAATGCGCTATTAGCTAATCCATGTTACCGTAAATAATAGGCATGAAATAATGAAATATTCATTATGTAAAATCTAGAAATCTAGTTGAATTGTTCGTGGAGAAAAGTCCAGATCATGCAAGCTTGCTGCCTCGCGTAGGTTCTCAAACACCGTATACAAATTATTTATGATTATACAACCAATTATTTCTTTGAAGCATTTTAACTTAGTTAACATTAACTTAATTCAATGTTTTATCCTTTTCTGATAACTGTTTCAGATAGATCTATTGTTGCCGCAGTTATTATGTTTACATTAATGCTAAAAACTAACAACAAAAAACAATTTAGAAATATGAACATTTATTGCATAAATATACTTATAAACAGCCCCATGTGTGATGCCTAACACCTCTTTACACTTCAATTTCAGTCCTTTGTGATCTATGGTGACTCTTATTTGAAAAAACGGTATTGATTCCCTTACTCATTGTGGTTTTCGTGGCACCGAGGTTAGACTGTCTCACAGTCCCTGAACCACATTATTTTCCCCACTGCCAAGCTCTCTCTGCAGTGCTAAAGCCCTAAATAAAGCAAGTCTAGATTTCCTCAGGTTCTGAATCTCTGGTCTCCCTGGGGCTCCTTTTCAATTTAAATGGGCTTGTTTGTTACTATCAAAATTATATATATATTCAGAGACTAAGCATTAGTCTACACCAAGGTTTGCACTTGAAATATGGCTTTAGCGGCAATTGGTATTTTTCAAATGTGGCTTTCTCGGGCGGACACCCATTTTGTAAACCATTTAATAAAACAAAGAGGCCTAACCATGAATAGTAATGAAATGCCAACTACAAAATTAGTGAAGAATGAAATTGTCTACAATCCTAATATTGGAAACATTTTGTAAATGTTCAAAAGGCCCCTATATGCTGGATATAAAGATGGGTTTCCATACTTCTCCTGCATCCATATTGTCAACATGTTGCCCAGTTCACGGTAAAGTGGGTGGATGGGATAGCCAATAATTGTCTCCCTTGTTCTATATTCCTTATCTTCATCCTCCGCCAAGAGAGTCTTGATTTCCTCTTCAGTCAAGAATGCATCATTTCTCAACAATTCATCTTGAAGAACCTGTAGCAAAATAACCAGGACTATTAGTATTATTACTTGTATAAATTAATGCTGATCATGGTCATTCTGCAATAGAAGCCCTGCTGAGATCAGTGAAGCTGAAGGGTTCCTTCAGTCAAGGTTTAGGGTCATGTCCTGGCTGTAGTGTAGGATCCAATCATGGCTCTCTGTTAAAGGGGCACTGATCAAGATCAATTTCTGTGGACTGGTTGTTGCTTTTGTTAGTGCCTTTCTCCCGTGAGTACCCGGATGATATCCCAGAATTCTTGACTGGTTTGTTACCTCGGTTTACTCCCAAAAGTTAGACGTCCCAAAAGTCATACATCCCAATTGTCAGACAAATCAATCTGTGATTACAACCTAGCCTTACCCACTGATATAATGAACCTGTCCCATACACTAACAAGATGTTTTTCACATTTGTACAGAAATACTTTGATCAAAATGCTAATGTTGACAATTAATCTAGAGAAAACTCAAATTGTTGCTTTTAGAAGAGGTGGACCCTTAGCGAGAAATGAGAAATGGTTTTATAAAGGTGAACGTGTCTTAACAGTTGATTCATATTGATATCTAGGTATTCCTTTTTCATCTTCATGTAAATTCAATAAATGTATATTAGATTTATCATCTCGGGGTAAAAGGGCACTTCTAGAAGTACTGCTCCACTTATATAAATTAGATAATATTGACTATTCTGTATTTTTCAAAATATTTGATACCCAAATTCAACCAATTCTTTTGTAGGGTGCTGAAGGATGGGGTATTAATAAATTTTATAAGATTGAAGATGTACATTTAACTGCATGTAAGAAGTTCTTAAATTTTGGTCCCAAAACACCAAATGTAATTGTTTATGGTGAATGTGGACGTTACACAATGTATATAAATGCACAACGGCGTTTCATAAAATACTGGCTTAAACTTGTAAATATGCATCAACAAAGAATTAAAAAAAAGCTTATAATATGCTAATGTATTACGATAATTGTGGTTATGATAACTATGTTTCACCTGTGCGTACTTTATTTTTGTTTTCATATGGATTTGGTTATGTTTGGTTATTTCAAGGTGTTGGTAATGAATCACAGTTTCTTCAAATGTTTAAACAAGTTGCAGTTGACATGCATATACAGTCATGGAATAGTACAGTTGAAGAAAGTTCAAGGTATTAGCTGTACAGACAATTTAAAAGCCTGTTAGAGCCAGTAAGATATAAGACAAATAAGAAACACAGATATATTCTTACTATTCTTCCAACATAAACAATATAAAATAAAGTCATTGTCATTATCCATAATCTCTCCTCTTTGTGTTTGGATTAGTACATTTGGACTAGTCCATTAATTAACGAAGGTAACAGTGTAGTGAGCCTCAGTGCAACCGACGATAACCTTTGTTGTTTTAACGCGTCTAACTTTTGGGACATGTAACTTTTGGGAGGACACCGTTACCTCGGCTGCACCATCTTCATGCGCAATTGATAGTATAAGTTTTGACTGATCAACAAAGATTAAATCTTTTTCACTCAATAATATTGAAATTTTCAAATAACGGCATCTGATGGGCATCCATCCTTCCTAATGTCCCACTGTTTAGGTTGAAGAAATTCTGCCAAGGTGGACAGTAGCCCAGTCCCCATGTCCGTCATGGTCGAGGGAGCAGGTACTGACCAGCCTGTAGCTTGGTTTCGTAATTAGACTGTTGGCGAGAAACATTAATCGCTCTGGATCAGTGCCCCTTTAACACTAGACCACTATATACATGTATATAGCTATGTATATAGCTTCAGCAAATCTGGTTTATATGTTGAAAGTACTGGAAGCCTGCCAGATTGAATGTCAATGTTTACAGTTTGTTTAACAAGGTAATATACTTCTACCAAAGAGCAGTTGGAATATTAGTATAAATGTGTGAAGCCAATTTCTGTTGTCCTATATGTTGTGATACTCTGGAAATATTGCTAAAACCTACATACAACCATACTCACTATAATTTATATCAAAGCACTATAATTCATAAAATTAAACCCAGTTGACATATTTATATAAAACCAATCATGTGAAAATTTGGGTAAAAAAGGTATTTTGAAAACTGAACTTTCGGTATTTTTTCCAATAAACAAGGTCCAGCATTTTTCATATTAGTTCGTTTTGTCAAGACTTCTGCAACATCATTTGCATGACAACGGAACTCATGTTACTCTACTTGTGTTCGATACACTTACCTCCTTGACATACTCGTTCATGACAAAATCCTTCTTCGACATGTCTGGCGATCAACTTTGCGGCGAGTGACTGACTCTCAATACTGAGGTTACCAGTGTCGATAACAGACGACGAGATTTCAGGGTGGATTGGCAACAAATGCTTACGCAGTAAATGTCGTGCCTGCTGTACGTTGCTTACGTATGATCATTCGAGAATGATCTGAAAACCCATCTCTCTTACACTATAGTTTCATCACTATTATTACACGGAGGTGTAAACACTAGTGCAAGGGAGGTAATTCTAATTTATAATGTCATAATGGCAGTCGCTAAAACATGTTACGATTGCCGAGGTACTCCTTAATCCAACGATGTGCTTTGATAAGTGAGAGTGAGTGAAATTAGTTTTACGCCGCACTCAGCAATATTCCAGCTATATGGAGGCGGTCTGTAAATAATCGAGTCTAGACCAGACAATCCAGTGATCAACAGCATGAGCATCGATCTGCGCAACTGGGAACCGATGACATGTGGCAACCAAGTCAGCAAACCTGACCACCCGATCCCGTTAGTTGCCTCTTACGACATGCATGGGTTACTGAAGTCACTTACTTTGTACATACATTTTAGGGGAAGTGTCATTCACATTGTTCATGCTTCTCCATAAAATTCATCATCAACACACACACACAAACACACACACCAAAGCCATAAATTATGAGCGACCCAGACAGAAACCATTTACCGACATATGGTCACTGCATTTGGATAATATTTATATTACACCTTTCTAACTCCTAAATATCTTACCTTCACAGGCTGAGTAACACGCCGATAAATATGAAAATAACCAAATAAAAGTACAAACAAAACCTTATAATGGAAATATATAATATAAAACAGAGTCGCCAGTCTCTTTTACTCGTCAAAACATATTCCGTAAAATTCCGAACGTAAAAGGCAAAGGTACAGATCACTATAAGATATAAATATATGAAATACAATTTTGTTTTGGATATATGAATTGAAATATGTATTGGTTGTAAAATATGAATGGTTTGTGTGTTCTTTTGACGGTTAGTTGAACATGTTGTGTTATAATGACAAAATGTATGGATAACAACTTCTTTTATTTCGTGAATGCTAAAGTTTGTCAATATTGTCATACGAAGAAGTCATGCTATTTCAGGCTTATCTGTTTAGTGGACATTGGCCAGCACAGTTACATGTGTTGCAGCCCATGTCGCTATCAGTACCAGTACTGTCAAGTTTGGTAGCTGATGTTACCAAATACGTGTGAACTTGATCAAAACGTTCTGCATGTCACCACTGAAATTGGTTCCTAAAACAAAAAAAGCCTCAACCCACTATTCTGTGCTTATGTGAACTGCTCTGATAAATGACTGTATCTACATGTATAAACGTTGGCCTATTGTGTAGTTCCTTAGGAACACAAGATTAATTAAGGATTAATTAATCCGATTTCATTTTCACACAAACTAATTAGTCCTAATAAGTGATGGTAGTTGTCCCAATTCTGGCAGTGCAATTTCCGTTTGTCCCATTTCTGGCAGTGGATTATAACACCTCCCTAATTACGTCATCTGGAGACTGCCAGTTTCGGGATAACACCCACAAGGCACCTCAATTTAGAATGCTAACGCCTTCGAACGATGTGAAGTAGCTGCGAAAACTATGTAAATGTCAATTAGCTAAGATACATAGCGTTCACTGACAAGAAGTAACTACAGCCCGTTTGGATTCAAATGAGAACAATATGAATGATTAAATAACTCGAAATAGGGATAAATGCACACAACATAAATAAATAAACCGCTGGACCCAACAGGATCTGAATATGACGTTTTATTACCACGGAAAAAGTTGTTTAAGAAACTATCGTGTAATATTGTTCTATTTTCAGGCTTTCACCGAGGGGTGACAACCAGCTGGTGGAACAGCGCCGGCTGTTTCCTGACTTATAGGGGTCATGTCAATATGTCACGGATCACATTTAGCCTCGCTCATGTTATCAATCTCATAATCAGACTCGACTGTGATGTTACCTACTGTTACCACTATGGGGGGAATGGTAACTTGATGCAGGTGACGTTGCACGCCAAAACATCTCGTCCTCCACTATGGCCACGCATCGCTTCCAGATATCGACTGGTACACGACTGAGTGATTCACGTACAAGTGTTTCAACGTTTCGGAGACTGACGTTGTGTTTTGGCGTGCAACGTCACCTTTGACAATGTCCAATATCAACTCGATAGGACTGAGATCACAGTGATATGATAGGATGTTTTGAATATTTCATATAGCTGTAGCTTTGTTGCCTTTGGTGGAAATGACACATTATTGCGTTCTAGCCACGTTAACGTGTCACCTTTTCGGCTATTGAAAGTTGATGCTTTACTGTCTGGATCTGGCACGCTGTGATAAGGGGCGTTGTTCATGACAATACGTGCTTGTTCAGACAAAGCTGGGACTAACTTATCTTTCACCCACTCCAGACTGACATTACCATTCACCCACTCCAGAAAGACATTACCATTCACCCACTCCAGAAAGACATTACCATTCACCCACTCCAGAAAGACATTACCATTCACCCACTCCAGAAAGACATTACCATTCACCCACTCCAGAAAGACATTACCATTCACCCACTCCAGAAAGACATTACTATTCACCCACTCCAGAAAGACATTACCATTCACCCACTCCAGAAAGACATTACCATTCACCCACTCCAGAAAGACATTACCATTCACTCACTCCAGAAAGACATTACCATTCACCCACTCCAGTAAGACATTACCATTCACCCACTCCAGAAAGACATTACCATTCACCTATTCCAGAAAGACATTACCATTCACCCACTCTAGAAAGACATTACCATTCATTTCCGTGTGGTAGTCACTGTTGTTCTTGGCCTTAACTCTGAAAACCGAGGCCAGGGAGAAACCCCTGACTGGCTGATCCAGCGTGGAGAACAATATGCCTCTCGCCTTTTCCGACAGGTAACTTTCTCCCTGTTTCTCTGCTATCCTCACTGAGTACCCACTGACGCCTGGCTGTGTGGGAAGCGTTCACCCATGCCTCGTCTACAGGCTCATATCCCTCATATAGTATATTGATAGTACGCAGATAATGATTTCACAAACGAACTATGTCTGGCCGTTCACATAATACAGTTCTATTCTCGGCAGTTATATTTTTTGTACCTGTAGCCAAATGTGTGTAAAAGTTGCAAAGCGTATGTTTAGTAATTATTATATCATGTGCTGTTTCAAGATGTTTCTGCAATGTTCTGAGGGAAACAAACATTTTATCAGAGTGTAGTTTCACAATTGATAGTCTGATCTGATTTTTTCAAAGTTGTTTTAATTTATCTATCTTTACAAGCCTCTGAAATGTTCCCCACCTGAGTGATCGCACATGTCAAGTCACGGCGAGTTACAACATTATTCAGTATCCTAGAGGGTATACCAAAAACTTTAGAGGCAAAATGAAGTTTGACAATGTTTGAGCAAGACTGACTCGATATCTACCGATCAGGACACATGACATTGCGTGTTCTATGTAAATGTGACTGTTAATTAGGGCTGTTTCGTTATGGAACAAACGGAAGCATTTATGTTTCATTTAGTTTTGCTCGTTTCATATTTGATAACAATTGCATTATCCATTGGCCAAAATCTGTGTGCCATCATACATTATATTTACAATATGTCACCGAAGAAAATTAATTATGTGCAATGACAGATGATGCAAAGGGAAAATAATGACAGATGATGGAAAGGGACAATAATGACAGATGATGGAAAAGGACAATAATGACAGATGATGAAAAGGGACAATAATGACAGATGATGCAAAGGGACCCTGATGACAGATGATGCAAAGGGACAATAATGACAGATGATGCAAAGGGACAATAATGACAGATGATGGAAAGGGACAATAATGACAGATGATGGAAAGGGACAATAATGACAGATGATGGAAAGGGACAATAATGACATATGATGAAAAGGGACAATAATGACAGATGATGCAAATGGACCATAATGACAGATGACGAAAGGGACAATATTGACAGATGATGCAAAGGGACAATAATGAGAAATGATGCAAAGGGACAATAATGACAGATGATGAAAGGGACAATAATGACAGATGATGCAAAGGAACAATAATGACAGATGATGCAAAGGGACAATAATGACAGATGATGCAAAGGGACCATGATGACAGATGATGCAAAGGGACAATAATGACAGATGATGCAAATGGACCATGATGACAGATGATGCAAAGGGACAATAATGACAGATGACGAAAGGGACAATAATGACAGATGATGCAAATGGACCATGATGACAGATGTTGCAAAGGGACAATAATGACAGATGATGCAAAGGGACCATAATGACAGATGATGCAAAGGGACAATAATGACAGATGATGCAAAGAGGCGTAAAAAATAACTTTAAAAGGAAACTAGATTTCAGATTTTTGAGAAACAAAAGGGCTCAGATCTAGTTTCTACAAGCTGACCAGGAACAACTAATAAAACAACAATGGGGTCATAGGGAATGCTACATTAGTCCATTTAAAAGTAATCCATGGGGACAGTAATTTAGCAATAATTTTCAGGTTAAGGTTATGCAAAAAATAACTGACAAAGATGATGGCAACTATGTAGCAGTGGATGTGACTATCAATGATAAGATATATACTTTGATTAACTTATATGGGCCTCAGAGTCAGGCATCTAATCGCCAGCACACAAGTTCAGCCGCCTAAGTCGCTCAGGGTTAGGGTTAGGGTTAGGTTAGGGTTAGGGTTAGGGTTAGGGTTAGGTTAGGGTTAGGGTTAGGGTTAGGGTTAGGGTTAGGGTTAGGGTTAGGGTTAGGTTAGGGTTAGGGCTAGGGTTCCACAACCCGCTTTCTAAATGACATTGTGTATTCATCACATAATGTTCTCAGTTCTGTAGAGGAGATATACAAGCAAGTATTAATTCAGATCACTGAAACTGTCACTCACAATTACAGCTTCGAATATACAGAAAGGGAAGGGCTTCTGGAAGTTCAATAATTCGCTGTTGAAGGATACGAAATATGTGGAAGTTATAAAAAAAGGAAATAAGCGATACCCTAGAACAACATGAAATCAAAACGATAGAAGACGAAAGAGTGCTTACAATCAATAATCAATTACTATGGGAAATATTACTGTTAAACATAAGAGGAGCGTCAATACTA